TCCACTAAAATAAATGCAAACTACAAACTGAAGAAAATTGAAACATTCTATTTAGCTGAGAGCTGGAGATGTCACAACTATGTTAAACTTATATCTGATTTCTATTTACAAGTCAGTTTAAGTCTATTCCTCACAGTCTTGATTTGACTAAGTTAATCACAAATACTTCATTTTAATAACTTCTAAGTTGTTTGTTATTATTTAATGTGTCTTTGTACAAATTCAAGTTTCTTGAAAATATATAATCATTGTTTATAACTGTTAATAAATCTAATTGTGGGAATAGTATTTTGTAGTTCACTTTCATTAATACTGTACTTATTTTAATAAGTAAATTAAACATATTAGGTATGCAGAAGCATGGAACATATGCAAAACAACCAAGCGGGCCAAGTGATAAACTTTAGAAAGTCAAATAAAGTTTCAGCTACCTGGAAGGTATGCCTAATAAGAAACCATTATGTGGCAGTAAAAAGCAATAGGCATATATATTTTTTATCTTTTAATATATGGTTATATTGCTAAATTTTTGTGCTATCTTTTGTATTATAACTATTAAATATCTACACTAAACAACACCGGAATGACTCCATTCACCTGAAGATTAACCATTTGTGGTTCAAAAATGTTTGTGAAGTACTGTTTTTTCATTCTTTTCATTTTTTCTTTGAGTTTCACACCTGTGACAGGCTGGCTTTGACACGTAGATAATTTCACCCCAGTGTTGTTTAGTGCAGATATTTAATAGTTAGTGATGCTGGCTAATCGATGTATTATAACTAACTGTTTTTTTTTGTGTTTTTCTTGTATTTATTTGCCAATTCACTTAGTTCATATGATGATTGTAATTATCAATACTGGACATGTGCATTAGGTGTAAAAGAAAAGAAAAATTTTTTTAATGTTCTAGAATGGGTTTCATTCGTTTTAAATCATAATATTTGATTTTTCCTGAGGAAGATCAATAAAATAGACTAAAAGCATTAGAAGTTTAAATAAAAAGACTGCATCTTAAAGGGTTTTTGTTGTTTTATGCTATTTGATTTAAGTGCATGTAGAGAAGAGTGTTTTCTGTTAAGTAAATTAGTGAATACATACTTCTATGTCCACAACTGGATTAATTAACAGTTGTGAAAATGATTACACATTTTCAAAGAAACTTTAATTTGTTTAAAGATACACACTAAATAATAACAAATGACTTAGAAGTTGTTGAAAAGAAGGATTTGTGATTAACTTGCAATCAAAACAGAAAACAAGGAGTAAGCCTCTATTTGGGAGTAGGCTAGTATCAATAACTCAGACTACTGTATGAATAAATGAAAACATTATCTTCAGGTTAAGTTCATTAAATATAATTCATCTAAAAAAAATTTTAATTATTTGATAAGTTTGTTTCAATTAATTCTGTCTAACATTGTAAATCTGAAATGTGTTATATTAATAGTTTAAAATATTAGTTGGCTTGGTTTGATTTATTGACATTTTATGGCACAATAAAATACTAGTGTGTATATTACACAAGAAAGATTACAATATTAATAGTGTATTCTCTTGGTACCAAATATATTATTATTTACTAAAAATCTGGTTAACAAAGAATTATGTATAATTTATATTTTGTGTCATTTAATAAAAACAGAAAATTGCATTTAACAATTCATTAAAATTTTATTGTTAGATCTAGAATTTAATATTAAAATTTAGAAAATAAGAATTAAAATCATCCAATTTAATTTAAAAAATTAAAAGTTACTAGCTATCTAATGTGACCATAAATTTTTGACCCAAAATAATATAGGCCTACAGAGATTGTTTAAAATAAAAGTTGAGTCTCAACCCACAATTTTTATTGTAAACAACCTATATGGCCTACCAAGTTCAGTTTTCCATGACTTAAGTTGTCTCTCAGTTGGTCTGAGAGATACAACTCATTCATAAAAAAATGAATTTTATTTTCTGAAAATATATAACACAATTAACCAATCCTAAAGGAGTTCTGCTACAATTCCAAATGTAAGGTTATAGTAAAAAATATTGATATCTGCTGAAAGTCTTTAAAATAGAGATAAAGATTTAAATAAGTTAAGCATACCACACAAAATACTATCTTGCAGAGATAACTACTGTCAATGCCTGGTTATATTAGCACTTTTCCCATGACAATGCCTTAATTATGAAGAAAAAAATTGAAATACAGAAAAATGCTATTCCAGCTGTAAACAAATGAAAATCTTTTCAAATATTTATCTATTTTGTAATAACAGCAGCATCTACTTTCAAATACTGTCAAACCATGGTTTTTGAACATAATTCATTATTAAAAGTTGTTCTAAACCCAAAGATTTTTTTAGCCTAATGATGCCCATTTGACACAAGCAAAAACATTAGCTCTATTCCCCTTTTCTTCTGCTAGTATTTGGCTTTTTGAGGTTTTTATAATGTTTATCAGTTGTGAGTGGTTGTATTTTATATGTCAATATTTTTAAAGTAGTTAAGACTAGACCTCCTAGTGTTGAACATAGCTTTAACCCATTTCTTTCTGAATTTCAATTATATCATCATAAAAGTGTTATTTTAAATGCTAATATGTTTAAAACTAAACAGTTTGTCATGTGATTCAAAATTCAATGCAAAAATTTGAAAGAATGATATGAAATTATATATTCAGCATTCCAAAATCAAAAAATCTTTCTTTTTTCAAGTAAGAAATATATTAGCTAAACAAAAGAATTAATTAAAGAAGTTAAAAGCATAATGTATAAATAATATGTNCACTACCGGTGCGTTTACCTTATTTTATGTAAAATAAACATTAAACTATTAAATTTAAATTATAAATAAAACATCAACATTTATTTAAAAGAAAATGGACACTTTTCTACAAACAACAATACTTTTTATTAAAATGTAAGAAACATAATTGATACATAAAATAGAATTTCATTTTCTATTTTCTCTCATTTCAGAATAATGTATGATTTTAAAAATAAGGCAGTCCCATCAAGAACTTATATAGGGCATGGGGAGAGCAGGCCTCTTTTGCCATTTTTTTTGAAAAAATAAAATATGTAGAATGTTTTGATATTAATAAAACTCAAAGATTTTATTTTTTTGTTAGTAAAAATGGTATTCATTTATAGGAGTAGGAACCAGTATGGGCACTTAAGTTTTCTCCAGACATAGAAATTTAGTCCTTGAGAATGGGTTTCAGAAGAATCAACCAATGTTTGTTTTGAAAAAGTAATTAGGAAACTGAGACTGCTTGCTTCTAAGTAAAAACATTCCAATTTAAAAAGTGTATAAAATTTCAACAGCAATTTAATGTCATAAAAACTAGTTAATTTACAATATACAAAATTCTATATACAACATTCAAAAATACATATGTAGTTCTAAATAAACTTTTTAAAGTTAAAAGAAATTAAATTAACTATAAAAAAATTTTTATACTATTTTTGTTGTTTCATGTTTATTTTTGTTTTAAAAAATAAAGAAAACTGAACACTAGATTTATAATACATCTGTAATATATTAGTTAAAAACAAAGTTGAGCATATTATATCCAGTTTTTCATTGTATTGCCAGTCTACATGTTAAGTAAACATTGTACAATACAGTACCAAACATTCAGCAAGCTCAGGACCTAAAGAGATTTCTGATTTTCAGGACACAAGCTAAATATACACTTAAAATATAAAATAAAGAATGAAGTTGTATTTAACTAATACACTTCTAAAACAGGATTTGTTTGGTCGTTATTAATCCTCTTAAAATATAGAATACCATGTATAATGTAATATTTAGGATAAAAATTAAGTGAAGAAAAGTAAAGAACATAATTTTATTAACTAAGACAATCACCTGCACACAAAAGTAGTCAATTGGAACTGGCACCATGAGATTTGTATGCCATAGCCACACAGAAAGCTACAACAGTACTACAGCCCACCAAGGTCAAACTCTATCTGCTGTGCTTAATGCCTTTGACTGCATCATAAGACATGTCTAGCATTTTAAGTCCTCTAAACAACAGGTACTGTACACTGAAAATTCTGAATACAGTAATCCTCTGAAAGTCATTTTATAAGATACTGAAATATCAATTTTTAAGCACTCTGATGGCATTACCTGGCATGCAATCAGACAACTACTATCGTTTACATGCCTATCTAAGACAACTGAGATTCTAACTATCTAAGACAACCGAGATTCTAACTATCTAAGACAACTGAGATTGCCTGATCACTGCGAAACTTTTGCAGTGATCAGGCAATCTCATCTCATATGTAATTTTTTGTCAATGAGTATATTTTAGTTGCAATTTAAAAAATTAACTGAGGGCAATTTCATTTTAATGCTGTAATGTAGTATGATTTTTTACATTTAAAATAATGGAAAAAAAGACTCCAGTTAAAATTTCTACAAGATCTGACTTACAGTACTGCTAATGTTAATAAGAGATAATTGTATTTTAGATGATTTATAATGTTCCTTTCAATAATTTTTATCTACTTTTTGCAAAGATTTGGCAAATCGAGTGATATAAGAAAGTGTTCTGTCAATTTCTGATTAAGTGTTCTTTTTATCATGTAATAGATTGAAAAATACTGCCTGAAAACAGATCAAAACATTTGCATTTAATAAACTGATTAAAAAGAGAAAATTTCTTAATACTTATAAAAATTATCAGAATTAAAACTTTTATAAAGATGTTAACTTCATTAAATATAACATTATTTATAAATTAAATTAATAAAAATAAATTCTTAATTTTGAAAAACTCCTGAAATATTCAATACTTTTTATTTTGTAATCATCAACAAAATAAATTATAATTTTGCATTAGGTATAAAGCTATAAAAACTATAAAAAGTTTATAGTATGATATGAAAATAATTTATATTTTTTAATTTTGGAAAATCCTTTAATAGAAAGCTTTTGTAGTAGTAAGAAACTATAAATCAACAAATATTAAATCAAATTCTAAAAACAGTTACCTTAAGTAAATTTTTTCAGTCAAATATTTTGTAGCTTGTCTTTAACTAATGATGAGAATATATAACTATACAAAAATAGAAAAATATTATTTCATTAAACTTATTAAATAATTTTAATAAAATATTGTGCAATTCATTATGTAAATTACAGCAAATTATTAATTTATATTGTTAGTAAATATTATAAGTAGTTTCTCAAACTTTTTTAATTATATTAATTTTATGAAAAACATTTAAATTACTAAAAATTAAAACATAATGAATATGCTAAAATAGATATTAATCAATAAAATTTAATTTATATTTTATAAAATATAAAACTAACTAATTAGTTTCATGTATTACTAAAATACTTATTAAAATGAAAAATTAATATATATATTAATCTAAAATATAACTTTAAATTATATTTTAAAAATCTAAGTTTAAATAAATAGCAAATTATTTTAATAAAAATACCTGTCTTATAATAATAATAAATTGATTATTCCATGTTTATATAATATACAAGTATTCCTTGTACAACACGGTTTTGCTCTAACACAGTTTCAGAAATCCTTCATACAAAATTTCGCAATTTTTAAGTGTAAACTCTGTTATTTGACATTTTTTTATTCAAATAAGCAGTGTGTTGTCTGAAATTTACCCACACATTTTAGAATATTGAAATTTTCAAATTCAATATTCTATATGAAAGGCACAAATGAAATTTCCAATTTCATTTGTGCCTTTCATCAGGTTTACCTTAATGAAAACTGATAGTGCAATTTTCTTTCTTTCTTGTCCTAGCTTTCCTACCAATCAGGTGTCATAGTAATTGCTTTCAGACTTTAGCCCTTAAAATTGTCACTATATTTTCTTTTTATAGAATAATCTTTATATTTAGTAAAGTTTATTTAAACATTTTTTGGTAAGTGTTATTAAACTTTTTTTTAACCATAGGTAAGCAATCATTCATAAAATTGATGAAAGTGAATTGATGAATAGTATCTCGGTATTCAAACAGTTCCCAACTTGAACAATTTGATATTCAAATGCCAATTCTGGAAAAAAATTGCTTGGTACTCAACTGAACAAATTAATCAAAAATTTGTTCTAGAGGGTTATATAACATATTTTTATTTTGTCATCCATAAAAAATTATGATAAAAATAATGATGATGTTGCTATTTCTGATCAAGAACAATAAAGCTGAGATGACAATGATATTTTGTAAAAAGAAAACACCCTCATTTAACTAAAATTAATATTAATGCATAATTTTTTTTTTTTTAAGTACGGATTTTCATTGCAAAGAGCATCACTTACTGTCTCTCCTTCAAAAAGCATAGCTAAATTACAATGTTCCATCCAAGTATTCAAACAAGAAATAGAAGCATTTCTAACTGTCATTTTGTTATCGCCAAAAGCTGCAAGCATTCCTGGTGCAAAATTACGCAACTGTTTCACGCAGTGAGGACCCATTACAGTTCCTAACATTTGACAAATATTCAAAGACTGAATCAAAAGATTCTTGTTAGAATCTGTTAAACGAGCTTTCAGAACATGAGGCAAATCTCCCAAATTAGGAGAAATGAATTTAGCCTCATTCACAATGGTAGATAATTTTTGTAAAGCTTCACCTCGTACTTTCCAGTTTTTATCTGACAATTCAGTTATAATACATTACTTTTAATTGTGATTGTTATTCTATAGCTAATTATTAATTGGAAATAAATTATTCATTGCTTTAAAAAACATATTTCTCTTAATACCAAAAATAATAGTATACTTTAGTTAACTTTTAGAACTTAACCCCGTATTTTGCAATAGTCCTTTGTTTTGTATAGCATGGATTCTCACAACAATACTTTATAAAAACATTCTTAATTTTTATTAAATTCATTGCTGGATTTATAAAGATGTTAAGTTTATTTATGAACTATTTATCTCCAGTTACTTTTGAATTTCATGGTAAAATTTATATTCCTCAGAATCTTACTACATATAAAATCAAAAACACATTTTTATTTTCTCTTGTATTAAAAGGCTTTTAATGAATCAAATGGTCAAATTTTCATTGTCAGATAGCCTATACGTGTAACTTGTTTTATTAAATGCAACTGAATATCTTGTTTTTTATTAATGCATGTTTTCTTTTTCATATAATTTATCACTATAACACTTACGTACAGTGGCGTTACAGGAATGGAATCTCGGACTTGGAACTTATCCAGCTTTAGAGAATGATCTCATATGGTAGCACTTTCAGTAGTGTAAAACTATCATCATCAGGCGGTACATAGAATACGACAGTTTTACAAATTTCAATATCAAATATTTCAAATGATGTTTCCAATGGTTTAGTTGATTATGGTTTTCGTCATAGCACGTAGATAAGAATGATAATAAATAAAAGTGTCTTAGTGAGAAAAGGCTGTAAGAGAGCCTAGTACATGCATGAAGTACAGTACACACCAAGGCAAAATTAAACATATGAGTAGCAAAGGAGTATTAATATCTTGGGTTGAGTTGTTTGAAAACTGTTATCCAAATTTGTGGGAGCTCGAGAGTTGGGGAGCTGCACGGTGTGGTAGTAGAAATGTAGAGTGTTTCCCAAATAAATAACTCTTTTTGCTTGTTACAGCATTTCAGTAATTTTGTTCATTCCGGTTTTACACTACTGAAAGTGCTAGCATATGAGATCATTCTCCAAAGCCAGATAAGTTCCAAGTCCGAGATTCTACTTCTGTAATGCCACTGCACGTAAGTGTTATAGTGATATAGTAAACGTCGGCATGAAGTGAAAATATATTATTTCACATAAATTATTTTTAATAAAACAGTAATACAATAGAAAAGTTACATTTTGTTTTAAAAATACATATACACAAGTATTTCATTATTTCAGAAAAATTATTTTAAAAAAATTAAACATCTTACTAAACCTGATACATTGTGATAATTACATATTACTAATAAATTTGACCCTAGAACAGTGGTTCTCAACCACTGTGCCCTAATGTGCCCCAAGATTTCTGAAGTGTGCCACCACTGCAAATATCCATACATAAATTACATCAGACAAGTAGTTCAATAGGTTCTACCTTCCTATGGTGCGTTTGGAAATTGTAACCTGTGTTATCGGTAACAGCCAGTAGATATCAAGGCATTTAGAAAATGTGACCTAAATAACAAACTGCATTTAATCACTATTATGACATCACCGGTTGTCCTGTGATACTTACCAAATTAAATACGACGACAAAACAGATACAGCAGTTCTATTATAATACAAGATGGCAGACACATTGTATCATCTAATGAATGTGGCCGTAATTTTAAAAATTTATAGAAAATAAAACAACATTTTGTTTCCATGACACAAAGCAACTAAAATCAGAAAACAGTGTCTTTCCAAATTTCAGATAAAGCAAGATAGAATGGAAAATGGCCAGCAAATGCTACAAAATTATCAATTTTACAATATAAATTAAATGAAGATATATAAACAAACATTAGCTAACCGATAAACATTAAAGCAACCAAAGCCAAATTAACGGACTAGAAGCGAGCTAAATGAAGATATTTTTTTTCCGATACTTGTTTAAAAAATTGGTATGGCCATGTCATTTGTAGTGATGAACACTCAGTAGCAAAGAGAGCATTACAACTCAGCCCACCTGGACGACGACCCCGAGGGCACTCCAAAATGAGGGGAATGGATCGACTGCAAAATGACACGAGGAGAGTGAACGTCATGCCGGAAGACGCATTGGACCGTACCAAATGGAGAAGGGCATGCAAGAAAGTGGACCCTGCATAGAAGCAGGACTTCAATGCTTGGAAGAAGAAGCCTTGTTAAAAAATTCTACAAATTCATTTTCTTTTTTGATAAACTTGTCGAATCATCGTCATATGATTCTGAATGTTACCGCAATGTTACCAGTTAGAAATTCCAAACACACCTCTAGCAGGGACTGGCTGAACTGATGCACATGACTATTACAGTTCTGGGGCAATACTGCAATAGTATTGTCAAACTTAATTAAAATGGATTCAAAGTAATATACGGTATCTCGTTTTTAATAATTTTTTGACAAAATTATTTTTATTTTAAAAGAACCTCTTAAAATGGATAAATGGATTAAAAAAAAGAAAGTTTAACGACAATAATGATGTTAGCGATCAGGCTAATGAGACCGAGCCCAGTCTAAGTAAAGATGTTTTCTCTGCCAAAAAATGTAATGTTTATCGTAAGTATAACAATGCGACATAAAATTTGGATTTACATCCACAATGAAAAATGATCAAACTGTTCCCGAGTGTGTGATGTGTTGCTGTAAATTGTCAACAGTGTTATGGTTCCCAGCAAGATCCAACATCACTTGCTCATTAATCATCCTTTGCTTGCATCAAAAGTCAAAAGCTACTTTCAGAAATCATTATCTTAAGATCCAAACATGTAAAGGTTTTTGAAAAACAATTTAGTGTGTCTGAAAAAGCTCAGATAGCTTCTTATGAAGTGGCTAAATTAATTGGTCTTAAATTAAAACCTCATAATTTGGCTGAAGAAATTATATTACCTGCTTGCTGCAAAACTGTAAAAAGAATGATGGGTGAATCAGCAGAAACTGACATTTGTAAAATACCACTTTCAAATAACACAAATCATTGCAGGATTATAGACTTGTCCCAAAATATTGAAGAAAATACTGGTAAAACTCTTGCAAATTCCAATTTTGCACTACAAATTGACAAAACAACTGATATTATGGGAAAAGCACACTTATTGCATTCGTTCGATTCATTCACGAAAATGATATAATTAATCAATTTTTACGTTGTCATGAATTATCTGATTTTTCAACAGGAAAACATATTTTCAATGTTATTAATTTGTATTTACAAGAAATTAATGTTTCGTGGAATATGTGCATTGGCATTTGCACAGATGGTGCTCTGGCTATGACTGGATCTATAAAAGGATTTTTAGCACATGTAAGGGAACATAATGCAGATATGTTAGTTACCCATTGTTTTTTGCATCAGGAAACACTCATTACAAAATAATTACCATCAGAAT